GTGAAATAGTTGGGTAAGATTATGGTCACCATACAGTTTGAAACCCCTATAAGTAAGGAAGTCATGTGTTTTGCCAAGAAGACCGTTAATTCACGTTAGATGCCTTATTTATATTTTATATTCTGATACGTACAAGACAGTATATTAAAATTCACGAAATTAGAACTTTTTTCAGAACACTATTAAGATTTTTGTATGTATTGCGACGCATAAGCGAGAATGGTCTATGTTTAAATTTGAGAATCTTGCGACTCCGCAATTTTGAAGGTCACCTGCTTTTGATCGATTATTTAGTGTTCTCGGACACGGTATCTACTGATTGGGGTCATAAGTCTCGTAAGTGTAGTGTGTTTTGTATTCCGAGAGGTGGCGGGGTTCCTTCTGCCCCGGAACGTGAATGAAACGTGAGATCCGACGCTGACCTACACGATGGCAAAGTTCATCTCCTCGCTGAGAAAGGAAAGACCGTGCGAGTACCATTGGCTCCTTCGTTAGGGCACTACTCCGGTATTCACTTCGTGTTCATAGGAGAAACTACGGGAAACCAATCAGTAGAGCCGAACGCTGAAATTCACCCTGAGACAGCGTCTGAATTCGACCAAGCTCTAAGGCTAGAATCGAAAATCTGCCACCGTTAAAATTCGAACTCCTGGCCTGCGAGGGTCTCCAACGATACAGAGGCAACAACACTGCTACGTCTGAGTCATTGCAGCTGGTTTCTCTGAAGAAAAATTGCCTATTTTCATCCTAATCTGATACCTAGCAGTGGTGATTAAAGGGAGCGATCGTTGGCTGCGGAATGCTCCACGCCATTTAAATGGCGGAGTTGTAAATGTCGCCGCAAGGGCACGGGGAGGCGTGCAGCGCGATGAATCCATAGGTCAGTGCTCCGCGACCGCGCTACCGGTTATCGGGGCACGGCCACGCAGGAAATTAAATGGAACTTGCCCCAATCGGCAATCGCGTGATGCGGATTTATTGCATTTGTCTCCCCGTGACTGCCTCAAATGAGTAGGGAAATGATGGACGTGGGTACGCCTGTTTGTGACTGATTTGAGCCGATTCAGAGCTTTCCAATATCTTGATACACATTACTAACGCAATATTACTCAAGATTTAATTTATAGCTGTATCCTTTGCATGTGCCGGCCCCATGCATATTCGTAGAACAACAGAAATATGAAAGAATATCGGAGACGTTTCATACGCTGAAAGTACACGACTTAGAAAACTCTGAGATCATTGGAGCAAGAAAGAAATTGTATTCCATATCACACTCCCAAGAAATAATTCTCTTCTCCTTGAAAAAAAAAAACTATTTAAGAATGGTTACTCTTAGAGTGTGCAGGAACACGTACTATTTAGATGAGCCTTTTTCGAGTTGTCGTTTTTATTACCACATAGATACTGTCTCTACTACATACTGTTGGAAGTTTTACGATCTATTATTGTTCATAAATTGTAAATGTTATTTTTGATGCAATCAGCGGCACATTTTATTTTCATAAATGTGTTTTATTATTTATTCAGTTTCGTTTTAAATGTTTATTTCGACGCTCCTCTTAATTTTTTAACGCTTCCCAACAAACACAAAAGAACAGTAAACATATTCTTGTCATTTTATGGTAGATGATGCATTACAAACGATTTTTACAGTTCTCAAATAAAAAAATTACCCATACAGGAGTTTAGAGACTGCGCATTGATACCAAGAGGAGTCGTACATCTTGAAGATGAAGTAATACCCGAGAGAAAGTTTCGAAGGCGGTTTCTCGAGGTAGATGCAACAAGAAATGAAGTTGCCATTCATAATACTACACATCAAAGCAGGCTCTGGAAAGGTAAAGACTGGATGAGGTTTCTTTGAAAGTAATGAAACAAGTACGGAGCTGTATGATGAAGTATATAATGAGAAGTATTAGGAATAAGATAAAGGAAGTTGGATGTTGGAAGTCAAGATGTTGCATGTTCTTAACGAGAGTTGTAAACGAGATCCAGAACACAGGCGGAATTTTTCTTAAGAGAAATGGGGCTTCAGAAGAATCTGCCTGAGGCCAAACGAAAGACATGCGGAGTGTTTTCGAAGAACGAATGTACGGGTTGTGCATGCAGAGAAAGGTCTTATGAGGGTTGAATCTAATAACTAATGGTTGAACAATGCCAGTTTAAGGAGTGGTCTCATTGCAAGCTTTGTGGTTGTCAATGCGAGGAGCAATAATAATAATAATAATAATAATAATAATAATAATAATAATAATAACAATCTGACCCTACGAATTAAGGAAATTATACAAAAATAGACCGTGTGTATAATTTCAAAAAATATAATAAATAGTAATATATATTAATGCAATATGGTGTTGGTTATAGTGGTACTAAAAAATTATTTCATTGATTTCAGAAGAAAGTATAGTTAGTAAGAAATAATTCTTTTCAACAGGAAACTACAAACCATAGGCGCCACAATAAGCTAGAAATTTATTATTAGTCCTAGGACATTGGCAAAAGAAGGTCGTGTAAAGAAGTAAATTACTTCTACTGCAGCTTTCGTCAAATTATCCTTTCTGAATTAATAGGTGTTGTATTAACACGTATCTATACAGATGTTCAAATTTGGCATAGAAACGTAATGTAATGTCAAAGAGAAATATTTTATAATGACCGAAATATTAGAAAGTTTTGTTCGTAAAGAGAGGAAAAACTCTTTTCATAATGACGTGTCAGTAGTTATTTAGCGCATTTTGCAAATCGGCAATAACACGGTTCTAGTCAAGCAGCACGCATTTTTTTGTTGCCTACGTTCATTCTTATTTAAACGTGAAAGAACGAAGACTGGAAAGTTTAACGGAAAATATTAGTTGCATATGCGATCTTTGCTGGTGCCTGTTTTGGCTTCCCGTCTTCTTGAAGGAACAGCTGCGCTTCCATCGACCGCCGTCTCCGCATTCACGGTCGTTGTCCCAGCGCCCGCCGCCGCATCCGTCACCACCGCCCCCACCCCCGCCGCCCCGCCCCCGCGCTCGTCACCGCCGCCCCCCAACCCGCCCGCGGCCTCACCCCGCCCCCGCCTCCGCTTCCGCGCCCCCGTCCCGCCCCGCTCCCCCCCCGCTCCCGCCCCGTCCCGCCCCCGCTAACGTCCCCCGCTTCGCCCGCGCTCCCGCCCGCTGCCGACCCCGCCCTCGCCCCACTCTGCTCTCGCCTCCCGCCCACTCTACTCCCAACCCCGCCCCGCTCCCGGCACGCACCGTCACCGCCCCGCCACCGCCCCCGTCGGATAACGATCTGACGGCCAAACGGCGTCCGCCGCATCCGTCACGGAGCTACTGCTCTCCGCGCAAACGCCCCGACACCGCCACCACCATAGCCACCCGCATGCCTGTCTTCTGCGCCACTCCTAGCCCCGCCGCCACATCCACTTTGTCACACGTGCGCACTGGGGGAGGGGGCTTGCGGCGTAATGCTGATGCATTCACCTTGCACCGCTGGAGCCGAAATTTGGAAAGTACACCAACTGCATCCCATAGTAAAATGTTTGCTACACGTTTACTCCTCCCCAAAAAGCTTAGCCCGACTGTATCTCGTTCCTTTTTCCATATAGTATGAGATTCATTTCTGTATTTACTGTGTCTGGTTAGTATTGTATTATCGATTATAATTGTTTCCCGTCTAATTTCAAGAAACATTTGCATGTTCTTTTAGAACACTGGCAACGTTAAAAACCATTACTGAAAAGCTTGTGGAAACGAAGTTTGCAACCTTCTATCTTGAGATTCTTAACGTCGCTGACTCAACATTCTCAAATCCGAAAGATTCTGCAATGTTTGCCTATGTTCGAGGTTTCCTCCAGACTGGATCAAGACTTGTACTAAACCGTTGCTTATGAATGGAAACTTAACATAGTTAAGCATAGACTGACAGCATCCTTTTAGTCGTTTCTTCTTGTTTGGGAAAGAAACACAAACACCCGGACCACGAAACGAGATCAGTCGGGATATTAGATTCTCAAGTAAGGAAAAGTGAAAGAAGATAAACTGAGAAAGCGGGAAGTGAGGGAAACTGAACACGGGATACAGACGACTATTCCGAATTTGAGGTTAGACAAAGTGGGTTCGCGGCATTTGGTTCTAATTTCCATGTTATTTCATTCCAATCATCTACTCATTAGATCATCACGTAATATGCGCAAGACTTCAGCAGTTTGAAGGGATTTTAAAACCCAATAAGAAATGACGACGCCCATCCACTGCCATCACCACCACCATCATCACACCCCACCTTTTTGCGCTAGGAGTCCAGCGAACCGCAGAGATGGCAAAGAAGGATAACATAACAGTCACGTCTCCTAGTGGCAAATCACGTCTGCGTGATGAGAGGGGGTCCCGTCTTGCTGTTCTGCAATCTCTCATGTCCCAAGTGCTTCCACAAACTTCGGGCTTTTTATTTTTGGGGTGTGCCAATATGCTAAATTACGAAGATCTTCCAGTATTTATTTTTCGTTGTTTGTTTTATATCTTTTTGTCTCGTGCTTCGTTCTGTAGATTATTTTTAGTTTCTAGTATATTTTTTATTATCAATTAAATCTTTATTGATAAATACGAGAATATTTCAATTACGTTCCTTTAATAATGCTTCCAGAGTCTAACTATATCTTCACTGTTTGGCATTCTTCTCTTCTAATAAGTCGTATTGTTAAAAAAATAGCCTTGAGTTTCTACAGATTCATCTTGAATTATTATAACTTTCTATTTTGTTTTAAACAGGAGATAATCACTCTCCTTTAAGAAATGTATGTGTTTGCATTTTGCCCTTTCATGGGTGCTTGATAATAAGATTTCTACTAACATTCCAGTGTAGCGTGTGGTTAGTTAGTTGCAGGAAAGAATGAGCTTCAACAAGCAATAGATTATTTTGGGAATTGTTTATAATGACACAAGCTTATTATTTAATGTTATGAATTAAAATGTTGTTTAAAAAATAATTTGGTACACCTTACCCAAAAGATGAATACATCGCTGATCGAGCACGTGCTTAGCCTGCATGTGCAGTCATCGTGTGCTGGAGATGGATGCACCGCGCGGCTGCGGGAGCTGCGATAGCGCTGAGGGAGGTGGGGACGAGGGCCGCACCGCGGCGATGGCGGCTGCCCGACGCCAGCCTCATTAATTCCTAGCACATCGCGTCGCCTCGAAACACGCCGGAGATCGATTGCGGCTGCGATTTTATCTCGCGATGCGCTCTGCGCATCCCGTCCCTGCAGTGCATTAACCGGTTTCGTAGCGGTTGTCAAAGTTCGCTCTGACTGACTTTTGTTCGGACCCGTTCCCCGTCCCCCGTTTTGACCCGCCCTCTCCCGCTGTGTTCTGATCTGCCTCCCCGCTTCACACTGAAATACCTCAGCTCTCCTTTTCTCGAACTGACCGCCCCAACACTGCCCGCTCCAATGATCCAACCCGCCTCTTTCCTTAACACTACAAACGGTCTCACCGCTCTCAGCTGTCCTCCCGCCTCACCCTCCGCATACAGTCTTTCTTAATTATTCTCAACTTCGACCGCTTTCTCCGCTCCAATGTGTCTCATCCTCTTCCTTTCGACGTGCTTTATCCTTTCTAGTTTGACCTGTGCGACTCGCTTCAGCAACATTACCTGAATCTTTCTTAATAGAGAATTTGTGCACGCCATAGCGGACAGAACTATGGATCTTCTGCGCATGCACAGATGTACTAAAGTGATGCGAAACTTGCACTGCGCATGCGCAGAAGATCGATAGTCTTTTAACGTTTGAGGGTGCACAAATTCACTCGTTCTCCTCAACTTCGACACCTCTTTCCCCCTCCAATATGCGTCACCATCTTCCCTTCGTCGTGCCCTACCCTTTCCGGTGTGACTTGTCTTCCCTGTGTGTCTCGCTTTAGCAACATCACCCTTCCCCGCCCCGACACTCCTAGCCCTACCACGCTTCGTCAGACATCAGTATCACTTGCGATGACACATCTCGCACCGCCTAATCTCACTCCTTTTTCCCCCGACTTTCAGTCTCCCTCCGAGCTACAACTTGCCCCAATCGCCCAGGCTGGCGGAGATCTCAAGGGCTTACGTATTCGTCAACCAATACTAGGGCCCGGATTTGGCCATCGGTGGGCAAACGGTAGCTCTTGAGATTCTCCTGTCTGCCACGCCCCTCATTCCACGTATAAGTGAATGCTCTTCATAACCAGACCATCGTGAATTTTGGTTATTCCGGGCATTTACCGTGAAAGGGTGGCAGCTATGTTTAAACATCATTATTTGTAGTACGTTAAGATACATTTCCCTACGTCAGGCGTGAAAGAACACGTTTAAGGTTTACACATTACCCTGTTGTTTCATTAATTATTAAAAAATATAGAGCGGGAAATATATGACTCATGAAAACCATTTGACTTGCAAATGACACACTATATTCACCTTACGTGAAGGCCTGTTGGCGCAATGCCTAGATAGCACCTGACGAGCGATGTAAGTCCGAATTCCAATAACGTGAAGAGCGATAACGAAAGCTCTCTCAAAACGTAGTAGCCCTTGAAGACCACCCATTCCCTATATCAAGCCATTTACTATCGATTGAAGCCCGTGCCGGACTGGCCGTGTTGTAACTCAAACATATGCCTGTGGCATCTCTGAGAGATGAAGAGATCTGTCTGACCTGAGGAGCAGATTTTTAGAAGGAGGGGGGGATGGAGTGATCGTAAAATATAGGAGATCTCGAATGATAAAATCGACACATTTCGGTAGAAAAATCCCTTATTGTTCTTTATTATTATTCTCTGGCATTGGCAAAATCATCACTTTTCCATTGATTCATACATTGGAAAATTTAGTTCTAACACATCGCTGATATCATCGTGAACTGCTAGACGTAGGTGGTTTAGGTCATTGAAGTCTCTGCAGTGCCTCTGAGCAGGAGATTCTAGAGCTCTAGCTGAAACAGAGCCCACCTAGATTGAAAACAGCCACTATGTGGAAGAGAATTCTAGCAGCCGGCTGCTGTGGTCGATATCGTTCCGTGTTTTCTCCGATCAACACCAAGCGAATGCCGGAGCAGAATCCTAACCATTGAGCCATGGACAGTCTGCGATCTTTCATTATTTTCTTCCTTGTCCTATCCTTATCCTTTACTTACACACACACACTTCATGCTCTACACTACCACACATGCTGAGAGATTGGTCATGACCTTAGAGTTTGTCCCTGCTGAAACAACGGCCCGCTGGGGGGAGATACCCGGATGAGGGAAACCCCACCAGCGAACGTATGTCGGCGCGGGATCTCACCAGTCAGCGGGGGAAGAGCACACCCACTTTCGGCGATGAAACATGCATTACACTTACGGGATCAACGACCTTATGAGTTGACGGACCCAGAAACACAAATCAACTAAGTTCTACCGTGCTCAAGGTGACGTGCATGCGTTGTATCAAGTGTTGTACAGTGAGGTTCGCTGCGAGACTGTCAGAAACCATCGGACGACCCCACTGGTCTCAGCGCGAGTCGTAAACTGAAAGAGAAGGCAATGAAGTTTTAGCCTCGGCAAGGCGGAAGAACGACGCTGCAAACGAGGAGGGGAGAAACATTTTGTTTCTTTGTTGCGCCCTAGAAGTTTTATTTGCCTTTGGCAACCATTCAACGTCTTTCTGTTCTGTCTGTTGTGCTTCAAGGAGCATACTGGTTTGAGAGATGTGTTTTATATTCATCAATACACTAGATTAAAGCGATCCTTTGCTTTCTTGACGAATTGTATGATCTATAATTCCAGGTGCACTAATTTTCTTCATATGCGTTTATTTTCAGTCTCGATAACTCCTACGCACATTTATACTGGATTGATTAAAGTTAATAATAATTCTTTAATCTTTTTTAAGAGAGTATTTGATGTAGTTCACCCCCTAATTTAATTAATTAACCTAGGATTTAACATATTTAAAAAGTTGGAACTTCCTTGACCCTCCAAATCACAATTAACGTATTTAGGCAGACACGTCAGCGTTGAGCTACGTGGATGATAAATCACTAGCAATTGCCTAGTGTATTTTCCCAGACCTAGAAACATTCACCAGCTAAAACCAGATTCACACTAGATCTGCAGTCCTTTCATTTCCGCCATGCTGAAACCGCCATTAAAAATCGGCTTTGATGTCGGTCGTGCACCAAAAATTCTATCTTGCACTTTTGCGACCGACATCAAAAGTAACTCCGCCCGCGCATTAAACTGGGCCTGCGGGTGCGCCCGCAGCGACGCGCGCCGCAAATGCGTGGGCTGTGTTCCCAAAAAGCGCCATGAAAGAATTCACCCCCGCGGGGTAGTCTTTACGCTCGCCGGGCTATCGGGCAATGGGGGCACGGAGTTACGTCGGGCGGTGGAGCTACGCGTAGGGCGATGGCGTTGAGCAGGCCTGGCAAAACCGCGCTCGCGCTCAGTCACGTCTCAATCGCGTCTCAATCGTCACAGTTCGATATTATCGATTTCCCGTCGATCGCTTCTTCTTTGACAAATAATGGACGTTCTCAGCAACAAAATAAATAACAATTTAATTTCAAGAGTTCTATCAACAGTTCACGTGCTATAGCTTGACCACTTAGAAAAAAACCTGGACTTCGTATGCGCGAAGAGTGGCGGAGGGGAAGGTTCCCCCTCTCAGAGACTCAACTTCCCCGCCTAGCGGAGCCACCGCGGCCTGGCCTCGACGATCGTCCCGAACTCTAGAGTTTTGAAACGTGTGAACTTGGTTGCAAAAGCAATTCAGTTATCGGTGCAGGCGGTCTTTGAGTTCAACTGAGCTCTCCTTCGGGAGCAGTGGGGGATGGCTTAGCCTCCCGAGGTAAGCGTCGCCATGATGAATTTTTTTGTTGGTGATCGAGCTATAGAACAATTTATTAAACATTTAGAACTTATTACTGCTAATGCTATTAGCGTAACATGTATACAATTGCATAAACCCACATTTCCTTGTAACCGGAAAGCTTTCAAACTCGTTCTATCGACCTCGCAAATCATTGTGCTTGTTTATTTAGGGTATTCTATCACAATACTCCCTTGGCCTGGAGAAAGCTGATAAAGATAACCCGCTCCGTTTCATGAGCACGCCGGCAACAATGAAGAGATTGGGAAATGCGCCTTCACGAGTAGTTACGGAAGTAACCTCGTGACCCCTAAATTATTCACTATTACCGTATCTTTGTGCATTCTTTTGTGAGCGATATTTTCTGTAATTAACTTTCATAGAAATATAACCACATGTTGTATGTTGCTGTAGCCACAGCTCAAAATCACGTTTCGATGTTCAGTTATTGTAAATAAATATAATATATAATACGGTAGTAAAGTGTAACGCAGTTTTTTAATTGTCCTTAAGCACCATTTCAGTGACTTACAAGACTTCTACACTATGATTAACGTATTCACCTTGTACACAAACGATATGCATTAACATAAATCTCAATGAAAAGTGAAGGCAGGAATCATTATTTTTAGTTAAGTGAATAAATATGTTCAGAAAACAAACCTCGTTAATGTGTTTTTCCATGACAGAGGGTATTGGCAATCTGTATGTCCATTTGAGAGTGTAATGTACGCGCTATGTAAATAAGGAATTAGGAAATGTAACATTGAATACTTCTACCTTGATAATTCCGGATTGAGGAGGTATCAACCACAAAGTAATAAGTGTAAGTAAGTAATAAGTGCATTTTGTCAAATTTTATTAATATTTGCCTAGTAATTTTATGTGAATTATATGTTGTCCCTGGCTTTTTTTCTAAAACCAATTAATTTTTTCATCTTTTGCTGCTTTTTTATAACAATATTATTTTTCACAATTAAATAAAGTGCATTTTGCCGGTGAAATGGCCGAGATCGTTAATGCAGTACTGTCGTAGGAGCCTCAGCCCAGAAGACCGCGGCTTCGAGTCCCGTCTCGGCCATGGGTATATTTGTATATGTCTTTGTGTGTGCCGTTCTTTCACTCATCATCGTCATCATCTTCATCTCATCGCCCATACCCCCAGGTCTATCATTCGGGATTCAGATAAAGTGCTGATCCTCCCCCCTCGCCCCAGAAAGGTAGTGCACCTGCTGAAGCAGGATGCATGTATGGTGCTAGTTGGCCTACAAGCAAAGAAAAGTAAAGTGCACTTTGTGGTTGCTACCTCTTCAATCCTGAATTAATGTCATGGAACAACACAATACCTGTGCTGCCACCGCGTAACTTGTACGTTGTCTGTTTCACCACAAGCCTTCTGCCTGAGCGATGTGCGTGTGTATGACGCGCGCGTGGTCTGTTGCAGGGGTGGCGACGACGGCGGGGTCTGCGGCGGCGGCGGCTGCGGCGCGCTGGGCGCGGAGGACCTGACAGGTGAGCGACTCCCCTCCCACCACTACTAACACGTGGTATTTAACACTTCGAGGAGCCAATGGCTGCTGTGTAACTTCTCAGGAAATTATGGCTTTTGTCCGTCCGCGATTGTTTTGTCTTACTGTTTTGACAAACTATTTTGACTTGCGTATTTTGGCTTACCGGCTTTGACTTATCATTTCGACGTTGTGTGAATAGGATCGAAGGCTGTTGCTACGACGTTCATTCATCCAGTAGTTGGCATATCTTGTTTCTTCACGCATCCCCAATACCCGTATTTGTATGTATCTATTATAAGTCCCGAAAGGGTTAATTGGTCTTGGCGCCGTTAGATCCCGGACTTCCTAGTCGGTCACTCAACCAGGAACCCGCGATGACTCGAATTATCGTAACCTTCGTGACTTCTCGTAGTTAACGCCGGTTTCGCGGCCGTGGCCATTCAGAAGAACCATCCCAGCATTCGCCTGGATGACCGAGGGAAACACGAAAACCCAGGTCTGGCCGGCCGGCAGGGGGATAGAACCCACGCCTCCTGAATGTGAAGTCAGCGTCCTACGCTCTGAGCCTCATCGATTTGTTCAATAATCGTACGAGTTATCAAAGAAATTATATTATCGAATTGCAGTGCATTGGACTAGTGGGTCCTCCATTGTCTCCAGAAACGGTAATTAATCCCACTCGATTATCTCAGTTTCCCTCATGAATTCAGTCTTAGACCTAAAGAATGATGACCCGTTTTTAAGAAAAAACTGTTTATGCTGAAAAATATTAAAAAGATTTTTCCTTTCAAATGCACATATGATGGAAATTAATCTAATAGTGCGGTATTTTGCTATAGTAAGCTATAAAAATATTCTGGACCAGAATCTGTGTAAATTTTTCTTAATTTTACAATCGAAGAACTAGAATTCCAAGAATTGAATCTAAATGTAACCATGAAGTAAATACTAGTTCCCAGTATCTATACCACTGTGTGCAAGGCGTTTATAGAAATTTATTCTTAAATATCTTACATGAGTGGTTAATATAAATTTTTTGTTTTGCAAAATGTGACCTAAAATGAAACACGGAGAGGCCAAAGTCTCAATGAGGGTCACCATTAACTTCGAGACGCGCACGAGGTTGATGAGTGGTGGAAAAGGGAATGGAAAGGACCTCATACACGCGGTTCGTTTGATAGCACGGTGTTCCAACATTGGCCTGGAACTGGTCAGGAATATCTCCGAATCCTCTGATCAGAGCCGTCGCCCTATGAATTCGCTTCCACCCTACGAATTCGCCAAAAACTCGCCATGTAAAGCATCCCTGTTTCCGGCACCATGCCGGAGTCCAACCTGCAACCTCCGATGACTAGCACGCTTTCGCCGCCAGACGTTGTCTTCACGCTTACAGGCACCGGCGTCGCTAGTCTCTTCGATGTGTCCTTTCGAAATCAAAATACTGTAACCACACTTTTTAACAACTATTGTATCTAAAGGCGAGCTAAAGAAAACAGCAATGTGAAATTCAGATGTGAGATAACAAAAATTGACGACTGAGCATCAACTGAAGTCAATGCTGTGCCTCTGACCGGGAGGTCATAGTTTCACACTGGCTTGTCAGCTAACTTGAGCTCAATCGCTGACAGCAGGACATCCGGTTGATTCTAGCTGTCGACTGTTCTTATCGGTAGTTTTCCGTGGTTTCTCCAATCAACAACAGACGAATACCGGATCAGTACCATAACAAACGGGCCACGGATCGTGTGTGATCAATCCTTCCTCTTTCTTATTGCATCTCCACCCTTTCTTACAAAAACCTGTGTTTCTAATTACATGCACTACCCTACTTGAGACCCGGCGGGCGCGCAGAGCTTTTCCAGGCAAGGGCGCTGCTCTGCTTGTGGGAATACCTAGTTAGGAAAACCCCGGGTCGGCGCCGGATCTCGCCATCCAGAGGGCGAAGATCACCGCCACCTCTAGAGGGGGAAAAGCATGCCTTATTCTTCCGGGATTAAACACCTAAGCGGTTAACGCGCCAGAAATCACTAACGATCAATGCATCAAAATTACGTATAATTAACCACCTTTTTATAATTATTTTATTAAAATACTTACGTGATTGTAACTGTTGCGTAATGAACTCGCAGAGAGATCACCACAGGTTGTTTGTATCGCGCACTCAACCGGAAACGGCCAGCCAATCCCGCGAGGCCGAGCGCCGGTGAGCTCCTCTGCCCAGTCGTGAAGAGCGCAAATCGTCAATAACCCGGTCCCAACAAACGACTCAAATCGGGACTTTCTGGCCCGATTTCCGGCTCCCCCGCGCCACCGCCTCCTGGCACCAGGCCCGCGGGTGCGACGTCCATATTTCTCCTTTATCGCCTTCAATCTCTTCCCCGCGCGGCGGGCTCGGAACGGGCGTGGACCGCGCGAATCGATCATCGACTTCGGCGTACGCTGAATCGCGCCGCTTCCGAGAGTCGACCGGGCAAAGGGTATCGATTATCCGTCTGTGTCGGTTGTGCGCGGTCCCAGTCTATTTCCGCTCATGTCTGATATGTCGTCGTTTATCACGAGTCATGTGATGTGGCCATTTATTAGCTGTCGGGGCGACTTCGGTACACTGCGTTTGGAACAGCTTAATTCGTTTGAAATTGTTACGAAGTCTTATTCGTCTGCATTTCACAATACAGTATTCCAATTACTCCGATTTTGTTGAATGAGTTACTGTCGTCTCTCTTTTAAGAACTCATATCTTCGTCCTTTAAAATCTCGTTCAGTTTTGCTATAATCGGCAATCTGATCTTCTTTCAATCAAAATGTCCTTTCTTATCCTTGAGTTTGCTACATTATTTAATAATAATAACAGTTATTATAAATTTCCTGCTTAATATTCATGTTATTTCGTACCTTAGATGAAGTAAGTGAGAGATCATAGAAAGCTCATTTCGTTCTGCTTAGTAGTGGCTTTATATAGTTTTCTCTCTTTCTGTCGTACGTTACGATTGGGAGAAAGAATTTATTTATTATGTATTTTTAATTTGATAATTTTTTGTGAATTTCTTTGTGAGAAATACAAAGACCTTATTATTTGTTTTTAAAATGCCAGGGAAAATTGAAAGTTTTCGAAACAAAAATAGAAATAGGTCGTAGAACCACACAGCTTTTTTCTCGACCAGCGAAACTATGATTTTTTTTCTTTGAAATATCTTTTATTTTCCAATCGAGTATTAAATGTTTCAATGTTATTCTTTAATATCAACGATAAAAGTTGTGGCAAAAAGCTGAAAAAGCTGAAATGGTTTTTGGTCATTTTCATAGAGAATTAAGAATTAGACATCTACGCCATACTAATGCAATCATTCAAATTGTATGATTTTGTTTCATTAAAAAATTCAACATTTATATGCTCAAATTCAAATTTTGTATTTCATTCATTGCACATTCATACATCGATTCAAATTGACTTCATAATTGACTTCAAGAATATTCAGAAATAAAAAAATGTTCACTGAAATAAGTTATTAAAATTGTAAATTAGGAAATGAGGTTAGGACAATAATTTGCAAATAATTATCAAATGTAAAACGATTTGCATTAATTACCGTTGACGTTCTTTTTCATTTGCAAAAATGTTTTGCAATGGAAGAATTGGGTTTAGAATTCGAATCCTAAATGTTATTAATGTCGGGTAGAATTGTGTCATTGTATTTGCTAAATGATTCTGAAAATGCAAAAATTTGGGAGATTTTAATAAATTAAATATTGTTAATTATTTTATTAAATATTGTTAAGTATTTATGCAAATTATTATATATTTTATAAATATTGTCAATATTATTGAGGAATATTCAGCCATTTTACAAATTATTTGCAACTTGTTGATAGAGTACAAGAATATATTTCAATATCAGTACTCTCTATAATCCTTTACAAAACTTCAGAAAGGTTTTGTTATTGTTATGAAATTCCGCTAACTAGAATGACTCACAATGAAACATATTTTCAATGAGAGTTTTTGTGTAGAGTGGCGTAAAGCAACCTCGAGACTAATAGCCTGTGAAGCCAAGAAAGAGTTTCTGCACAAAATGCAGGTTGAAATGGACGAATTTGCGAACTGTGGCAGCAGCGTTTGCTGTTAAATTGTTAAAATACTGCGTCCTTCTGGTAGAACAAAATGCGAATAAAAACTGTCGATCAACCACTGATCTGTATGTACAATTATTATATGTTTATATTAAAAAATATAACTAGCATGTACAGATAACTGCAAGTATAAATGCCATCAACCTGATGTAGTACCATGGGAATATGGAGTTACAATCACACTGTGTCTCTATAATTGGGAACAAATTCCATAGACCAAGCGATACACGCTGCTCGTTAAATTTGGTGGAATTAGTCGACTCCGCTATCATTAGAGTTCAAGATCGAGTTTGCGCATGCGCACAGGGTCTTACGGTATACGCTGGCACATTAAGATCGCGAGCAAGTGAACTAGTTTACTAGAGTTCGTGGACATTGCGTCCTGAGTAGCAGGCGGGGTTTTTTAAAAGTATGGGTTGCAATTTTGCATTGTTGGCGGTATATAACTGTATTTCTGTCCAATGACAGTGTTTTGGTGAAGTACTTTGACAGCTATTGCCTCAAATTTAGTGATATTAGTTTTCATTTCTTGTAGTAAAGTAAATAAGCTACCCTTTTAAATGAAATACATAAGTAATATTTGAACTTATAAATTGCAAATAAAATTAGAGTATTTTCAACGAAAAGGAACTGGAACTTTATTTTAAAAATATTTTTGCCTTTTATAAACATCATTACTCAAGGCATTTAAAATGTCGTGTAATTAAGGAAAAAAGATAAAGTTAATAAACATATTTCAAATTTCAGTTGTTTGACAGAAAACATCAGACTAATGTTTATAAAGCAACCATTCATTGGGATAATTTCAAACGCACTTGGTGCTTAACGTAACCGCTTCAGCTTCAGCGCACACATCGCTTTCTGCATTTGGAGGTGAACTCAGAGCGGAGTGGGGGTAAATGGCCCGCGAGCACAGGAGCGCCGCACTTCCCAGGGGGGCAAATAGCCCCTAAGGGCGCAATTTGGCATTCCTGATTTAGAAGGTGCTGATACAAAAGGAGCCTTCGCACTGCTGCATTTAGTGAATTTTGAGTAGGATTCCGTGATCACGGGCTATTTTAACTAATACGCTTATGTATGCTATTGTAACAAAGATGCAACTGTGGCAACTAGCACACTGGAGCTTTCTTAGCCTTGTTTACAATGTTACCGGTATTAGTCTAGATCCATCAGAATAGTTCATTATCCTTGCTCAAGCGACGTTGAGGGAGAGAATCGCGAAATAGAACGCATTTGATTCACAGTTCAAAAGAGACAATCGGAGGTAGATAGCCAGCTGTGTTAGCGCGGCGTTACATGTTTCTGGGCATTGTGCACACAGCAATGGATTGTGCCGCCATCGAAGCTGGTCGTCGCTGCATGTTGATGCGCCTTCTGCGTTGGTCCTCCACCCCGAGGTCCTCCGCTCTGAGCGCTCTGCGGCCGCGCTCTTGATGCGCTGCGAAGGCTCGTCGCGAAGGCCTCGTCGCAGAAGGCTCGTCGCGAAGAGCTCGTCCGAAGGCTCGTCGCGAAGCACTCGCGCGAAGGCCTCGTTCACGAAGGCTCGTCGCGAAGCTCGTCGCGAAGCTCGTCGCGAAGGCTCGTCGCGAAGTCTGCTCGCGGAAGGCTCCGTCGCGAAGGCTCGTCACGAAGGCTCGTCCGCGAAGGCTCGTCGCGAAGGCTTCGCTCGCTAGCTGCCAACTAGCGACGCTCTTCGCGGCGAAGCACGTGTGCGCGTCTACGACCTTTTCGCGGACGAGCGCGTGCGCGACTCGATCGCTAGCCAACCCTGCGCCGAAGCGCTACGTCCGAGAGGAGCCTACGTCGCGAAGCCTCTCTCCGCCTTGCTCCGCGCCCTGCTCTCCGCCCACTCTCTCTCCCACGTTCCGACCTGCTTTACCGCTCGCCCTTCACTCCCGCTGACACCCGCTCTTCATCCCAGTCTTCCTCTTTCACCCCGCCCTCATCCCAAGCCTTTGTTCTCTCTCGTAGTCTGTCTCGACTGCATAGGTGTCGACTTCCCAACTTCCTCTCTATGTCCACTTACACTCTCGCTCTATCTCCGGTGCCCGCTCTTCACCCTCTTGTTCCACTCCTCACTGCACGTTTCCCTACTCCGCTCGCTTCTCCTGCCCACTTCCCCGGCTTCCGCTCGCCGCGCCACATCGCGTCTCGCCCTCGACATCCTCTCTCTATCCAACACTCTCTCTCTCCGGCAGTGTATTGTGCGATGATGCAATATTTTCGAGTCGGCGCCCAAGTGGAAAAATCTACAGATACCGAGCTAGTACGTTTGTGTTGTTGTCCGTCTATTGACCGAACGCGGTGGGCTCCGCGCGCCTCTGTTACCTGCAAGTTTTGCTCTGGCGCGCATCACAGCCTAGTCGGCCGGGGCGCGGTGCGGAGAGGCGGTGACGGCGGCTGGAGAGTACGAGAGGATGGTCACGAGCGTAGGGTCGTGGAGCCGAATATAGCAGACGGGGCGGCGGCGGTTTATTCTGTGCCGCGGAAGGAACGGACGGGGGGACGAATGCGGGGGACGGGCTATTTTTTTGGAACGTCCAGTGACTCCCGAGACGGGATGACTGCGGTGACTGGGACTGGGCAGGTGGGACAGGACCGAGGGAGTGAACGGAGTCGGTGGACGAGACGGGGAGCGGGGGCGGTGGCGGGGGCGGCGGTGGTGGCGCGGAGATGGAGCGGGGCGGGGGGACGGGGCAAGTGACGGGACGGGGGACGTGGTGGAGGGACTCTTATCTTAGGTGGGGAACGAGGCGGGAGACGGGGCACAGGGCGCGGAGGCGTTGGCGCGGAGGGGCGGCGCGGGCTGGGTGGCGCGGGCGGCGCGGCAAGCCGGCAGGGGTTGTGGGGCGGCGTCGATGGACAACAATCGCCGCGGCGTCCGCCAGAATTCGATGATTCGCGGCAGCGCGCGACACTTCGATCTCTTTTGTCGCAGCGCCGACGCGCGAATCGCCAATTCGCAGCGATCTGCAGTGCGCGGTTGTACGAGAGGAACGTTGACTGGCTTGCGCGGGAAGATCTGGGCGCGACTGTAAAGATAGAAACACAACACGATGCGACCGTGCCCGGCAAAGACAATCTCGGTATGCTATGAAGCAACGTGAGCACTGCAGCGGCGCGACTTCGAAGTAGTTCGTCGAGTTTTGAATTTTTGTTTCGCGTAACTGGTGCGATCCGACCCCCCGGTGTGATCATAGATTGGGAGCCGAAAAGAAAAAACCGTATGAACTGAGTGTACCAAGATGTAAAAAATTGCCGGGTTTGCAATCTTCAAGCAGTCCACATTATTTATGCTCGTAAGTCTACATTCTCTAACCTAAATTCTTGTTCATACAAACTTGAAAAGGTCGTTCATTATAGAGAAGTTATGGATATTTCCCATCATCCTGCAACACACTGCATTTCATCCACTCTTCTTCGCTTGCGACGTAATACATTCCATTTCAAGTACATATTTAATACAGACATCTACTGCTCTTCATGTTTCTCAAACCTTATCCACACAAAAACATCAAAATATCAGAGACAGATGCGGCGTTGGGGACAGCTGAAAATATCACTTGTGTTGTGCAATAGCAGTTCTGAATATCTTTTAAAACGGTATAGTCTGCGGTGTATGTAGGATTTGGAAAATGGTAAAATAGGTTCTG